AAAACTGGGTATCATTGGATTTGTCTCTTCCCAAAGAATCTTTTTGGTCTTTACTGCGAAGCTCTATCTCCAACAGGAACGAAATGGCGCGGGGGGGGGGGGTTGAAAATGGCATGTGCGGGCGAGGGTTAATCACGACACTGCTGCCAAACCGAGGTCACATTTCGAAATACCACTGTATACGCTTAACACCTACCTGATGCCTGATGACCTTCCACGAATTGTTGAAGTCATCGACATTTAACCCACGAGCCGCACATTGCCCCAAAAGATGGTAAATAACTTTTGAAAATACCCATCTCCAATTTTAGTGTTTTCTGGGCTAAAATTTTGCGAGGAATCCGATGATGTGGTCCCCGAAATCTGAAAAATTTCCATTTTTGAGATAGCACCTATTTTTTGAAAAATAAATATTCGTCAGGCATAATAGTCAAATAAATTGAAAATATAATGAATTGAATTTTGTATAACAACACTAGAATGTGTCGAACATGAATTAGAGATATATTTTAGCTGAGATGATACTATATCTGCCCAAACATGTACATGAACTAGTACATTAACCCTCATCGGCCGAGAAGGGGTGGGGCGGGTGCCGCCTCATAGGGTTTTTCGCGATAGCTCAAAACACGCCTAGGGTAGACAGCTGTAACTTGGCATACCTAATCTTTTATTCAAGCTTGATCGTTTGACACCAATCGCGTTTTCAGGTCAGGTCAGGTCACTGACCTATGACGTCATAAATGAGCCTCTGCGAGGTCCTCAGATGTTAGCAAATTTGCAACGCCCTCAGTGCCAGAGAAACTTTCATGCAGGAAGATGAAACTTACAGGGCGTAGTATCCTTCGGAAGTCTCACAACTTGTATATCTCGGATTTAACCTAAATGTCACATGAGGTCAGGTCGGTCACGTGACCTCACCATTATTACGGAGCGAGCGAAGCGAGCGGAGTCTTTCCTTAGATTAACGGAAATTTCTGAGTATGAGCGGCCGGCCGGCCGCCTTCTTTTCGCCTGCGGTGCATCGCGTGATCAGTTTTTACTTACGTAAATGTGTTGGATAAACGTTCCTGTTCGAGTGATTGAGTGCTTTGCGTATAGGTTACATTTTCGAGATCATATTTCGTCTTTTCAGGCGTCGCATGTTTTGCCATTTTCAATATGGGGAAACCATATTGAAAATGACTTATTAGCGACCCTTTCCGGTCGCTAATCGGGAAGAGTTCCCTATTAGCGTTTTTTGCAATGGTTTGCCAAAATGCTCACTACAAATAAGTTAGTGAATATTGGGGCAGAAAATGACTATATTTTAATATAAAAATGAACGATCTCTCCCAAAATCAAGCCCGTAATACAGTGGCACCCACAGAGCGTGAGCAATGACGGTTCACATTAAGGGGGTCGCTAACTAGGCACCTTACCCTATTGAAATATTTACTTGAATACCTATCGTTCTTTTTCATATATCTACCACTGTGTCTTCTTTCAGCGGTGGGAGGTTTGCTCATGAGTGCTCATATTATCCACTAAAACAATGATATATTCAGCATAGTCTGCATAACCATCATACCCGCTGCAGGTTTCGTGCACAATACCACGCCGTCTCCTATTAGGAATAAATGTCTGCATAGGTCATCTAATCACCGGGTCGAATGTCTGGCCCGTCCCGTATAGTGTGAAAGGCCAAGCTATGGTATACAAATCGACAATTCGATATTAAGTTTGCGCATAAATTTCACGTGGAGTTTGACGGGGTGCCATCAATTGACTGACCTCTGACCGCGCTCCCAGCAAGTTGGCGGGCTCTAACCATTCGGGCCAAGCCATTTGGTGAGATCTCTCACTAGAGGATGGTGTGTCCAGGACGATTGATTTCAAGTGCAGCGCAGATGGCGGCTATCACGCCATGTACTTGTTGAACCTCCGCTCGCTAGGAGAACCTGGGTGGTCGGCTGATCAGAGGCTGCGAGGCATGCTGCCGTAGCTGACAGATCCTGGGCTGGAATACAAGTGTCAACTGACACATACTGGGCTGTCATATACAAATGCCACCTGACAGATCTTGTGCTGTGACATAAATGTCACTGGCAGATGCTGGGCTGTCATAAAATGTCACCTGACAGATACTATGCTGTCATACAAAGGTCACCTGGCAGATACTGTGTAGTGTGATGTCATTGACGCAGCTGTCATATTACTGTTAGAAGCTGCTGTCACAAAGAGCTGTCATATTACTGTCACAAGGTACTGTGACACGTCCACTAACCGACACAGCACATCTGCCACCAGCCACGTACTGTCACAATACCTATACCACCTGACAGTTAATACTGTCACATAGCTGTCGAATGACAACACATACAGCCATGCAAATTACCAGATCATGTCCCATCCACAACTGCATTGTTCAGCTGCCACCCAGCACAGATAAACGGTGCACTGCCCAGATACGGCACAAACGGCTTGCAGGCAAATCCGATTTAGTTATCCGGCAGACAGGAAGCCACGGCAGATACCCTCAAAGACAAACAAATAATTCTATTTTAGTAACAAACTGTTGAGAAGTCTTAGATGAAATATAAAATGGTATTTTTTGTAACAAAGGTGCTTTTTAGGATGTGAACATACCTATAGCGAAAACAGCCGGAGTGTGATTTTTATTGAGATGAAAGACTTGGTTTATGATTATCGCACCAAGATTTGGTCCTGCAGGCCAGCCACGCAGCCGTAATCGTAACGTGGGCTGGCTGTAATGCATTCATAGGCAAAAAAATGACGGAGCGTTACGTCTTAAGTTTAACGTTTGTGGGAAGTGACACTAGGAAACTGATACAAATGGACAACGTTTATGGTATGGTCAGTGGTCACCTATTGCCCGCGAGCCCGAATGCATCCTATATTTGTTACATGCACTCAAGACCGGAGTCAAGTGAGAAACCACCCCAAAAGTTAGACGTTTAGCCTGGTTACGAAAAAGGTACAAAGTTATGTTCAAAACTGTGTATAAATTGCAAGCTTGGTGCATATTAACTATCTATGCATGCTTTATATTTTGCCTTCGATAGAAAGAAACACTGTCATTCACTGACGACTGTGCCTGGGAGAAGGCGACGAGGCACCGATGACCGAATATCACCGTTCACCCACATTGGGCTAAGCTCGTTTGATGAAGGCCGTTGAAAATCAACTGACGGGTCTCTTGATTGTGTGAGGCTTTGGAATGCCCTCAATATTTACATGTTTGTTCATTTTGGAGTAATTTTGGCACATGCTATTGCCATACTGTCTATATGTTGTGAATTGTAATAAAATGCAAAATTTAAAATAAAAAACTTTAAAAGGTCGCGGTAGGTAATCAACCACCATCCCGGCTTCCCCAGTACCTACCTATTATTCTCGACGGTCGGTGGAAATGACACATAGGCTGTCCCGCACGACAGCTGGAAACTGCGGCGCAGTCTGCCCGTCAGGCGCCACCGGCTCCGCCCACACAACACGGTGAGGACAGATTGGATGGAGGGAGGTTGACAATTCGACTCATTAGCTGTCTGATTGATGCGTCTCCAACGCCACTAGGGGATATTATCTGCATCAGCTGCAGCACGTCGTGATGCATTGCAGATGCAGCCTTGATACCCGACGGCGATCGGCATTTGCAACACATGGAGCTGATGGCGTGCACGGCCGAAGCTGTTATGTGGCGTCTGAGTGGCTCGTGCAATCAGTGCCGCCACCCGGGACACCCTCGGTGGTCCTGACCAGCGGGCGGGGGTCACGGAGGGCTCACGGTACCGGGGTGCGTCCATCAGGCTCGTACCGACTCCCCCGTACTAGCCGTCACACCGAACGGCCCAGCACCTGACCAACGGCGGAGGGCCGCTCCGCAGAGGGCCATAAGACCGGAAAGTGGCTGAGACTTTCGGCGCGGGAGGAGTGGGGTGCGGTGGGGGTGGGGACCACCCGGCTCGGCCAGAGCCGAGAGGAAAAAACGGCATCCGATGTGTAGAGAGAAAGAGGGAACGAGAGTCGGGATGGAGGGGAGGGGCGATCGGAAGTCAGACAAAGCGGAGGAGGAGCGGATGGGGGCGGGCCAGAACAGCCAGACTGGCCGGATATTATTCTGTCTGGAGTGGCCACACCAGCAGCCACCAGAATCGCTCTGCTATCGGCCCATTAGCGGCGTCCATCGGCCATCGGAACCGCTCTCCGCCGGACCACTCTCATAGGAACTGCGCTGTGAGCGCGGCCCAGCCGGCGGACGTCCGCACCGGACGCCGCTCTGCCGAGCTGGCCCTGCTCGATACACATCCTGATGACCCGTGCGGCCCCACCGATACCGCACAGTGCACTCTGCTGTCAAGGTTCCGCCCGGCCGGCCCCGCCCCGGCGCCCTCAGTCGCTGGCGACGCGGGCCAGCGGGCGGCGGCCAAGGTTCGGAGCCGCAGCTCGCCACACCGATGGGTAGATGTATCTACAGAATAGATGACGGAGCGGGCCGCAGATTAACGGCGGCTAATTTGCGAGTGGTGCCTGGGCGTGTGATTCATCACTGCTGGATGCTGTTCAAGTTCAGAGCGCCACCAGCCGACAACAATGAGTGCGCCGCGCCGTAGAATGGGTCGGAGGCGGGCCGCTCGCACCTTGGACGGCCCAATCAGTCAGCTTTGACGAGTCTGTTGAATACAGAGTGGAATAAGTGAACAACACTCGCACACACGCACACTCATTTGGAGCAGAATGATGAGGGTATGCCGTGCACAATCGATCGGTTTCGAAGGTTGGGATTGTTATTTCTAGCATATCAACGGGTTGCGTTCATAATTCACACACATAAGCCACGCACAGATAAAAACGGTGTTGATGCAACCATTACGTCACTGCATAGGGGCATGTTCAGATGTCTTCCTGTGACAAAGTCATCCAAAAAATGGCAACTCAAGGAACATGTCACGAGATAAATTAGCAAGATTTTAAAATTCGAAATCCTCATTGCAAGGAACATCAGGAATATTATATTTTACGCAAGGCCATTTTACTTACCTTCGCCTCCACCCGCCCGGTTGTTCAAACATTGAAATCTTGTATGGAGAGTTGTGGTTGGCGGGTTTGAGGAATTTGCTCCCATGAAAACTTCTTACTGGTGATCAATGTATTTGCATATGAGTAAATTTTAGCCATTATTCCATCCATCGACGAACACTTGGAAAAAACTCACGTCCTTTAGCTATCGCAGCTATTTAATTCCGGAATAGCATACATATTTATGCATTAAACACTCTGGTGAATATGGTGGACAAGGACCCGAAAAGCGCTTTACCAGACCTCACGGCCGAATATCGAATTATAACCGAGTCTATCGAAAAAGAAGAGAAGCACATCAAGCTAGTCGAAAATTACGGCATCAACCCATTCAGAAAAAGTAAGAATTATGAAGTAAGCTTACTGACATTACATAGTAATTGGTAGTCAGGCCAATGGGATTGCTAGAGTTGATAGCCAACACAGGCTGGCTTTTATATCAGTCAAGATTTATCAGTGTGTTGGTAAGATGAATGCTGCTTGATATACGCTGCTAGCTTTCAGTAATCAGTTATAGGTATGCTCATTGCTCATTGTTCATCGATCAGTATCAATGTGTTCCTTCGATAATTGTTGCGTGACGATCGTTGTTCTTTCAGTGTGGTGATTATAAAGTTGAATCTATGCAATACATACTTAAAAGTATGGGACTAATCAACCTAATTCTTTCCTTCTCTCACCTCACCTTCCCTCTCTCTCTCTCTCTCTCTCTCTCTCTCTCTCTCTCTCTCTCTCTCTCTCTCTCTCTCTCTCCCTCTCTTCTCCCTCCCCCCTCTCTCTCTGTCACCAGGGGAGGCCCTCGCTGGAAAGCCCAACTCTCCATATGACACGGTTGATCCCAATGCGCCAATAGACAAGGAATTCATCAACACTGTCAACAAGGTCAGATCACCTTCTTGGGCTGTCCTATCTTCAGGTGATGCTTCTGAGCGTAATATGGCAGGGCCGCAGGAGTTAGGAGGGAACTTATTTGTTATATAAATGCGTAATCGTGTGAAAGTTGTACCTATAAATGTTGGAAAAGGTCATTTTTAATTTTATCCTGTTTGTGCATTCATAACGCAAGCAAATTTACCTTATTTGGGACAACCTGCCAATCAGACGTTGTGTGTATGCTAACGAATATTAGGTATTTTTCAGTTCAATCGCATTCCTCGCGAGAAGTACGAGTGTCCTCAGACTACCTCTCACGAGTACGGTTGGCACTCGCGGCCTCTCCTGATTCAGGTGAGAAGTACCTACGGTTGGCACTCGCGGCCACTGCTGATTCAGGTGAGGGATACGGTTGGCACTCGCGGCCGCTACTGATTCAGGTGAGGGAAACGCTGGCACTATCGGCCTCTCCTTAGGTGAGGGAAACGCTGGCACTCGCGGCCTCTTCTGATTCAGGTGAGGGAAACGCTTTTAATTTAGATGAGGGCATGGCTGGTACAGTCGTGTACAGGTTGATGGTCCCCTACTCTTTATCCACCGGGTTCCTATGGCTCAGCATTGGCAGCAGCCGCCTGGTACCGGTAGGCTGTGCCGCATGACCCGAGAGTGAAGCGGCACAGTCTACCCACGCCGTTTGACATCGGCTCGGGTCGCCGGATGGAGCGCTTTGTAGACCAGCTGTTGCGTCAGACCAGCGCGGGGGGAGGGGCTCGTCTCGGTGGTTGGCGTGGGCTGGCGAGTGGTGTGGGGCGTGTTGGTGGACCATGGGGGCTGGGCGGGTGTGTGTGGTCACTTGCTGCATTGCACATTTTGCGTCGCTTAACAATTGCATTCCTGTTTTTGCTAGGCACAATGCACGGAAGATCCAGCGAATATAAGTTACTTTACTTGTGCGTGATTTGGCACGGTATCGAGGCAACCAGGTCTTTTGCCTATGCATGATATTTAGGCAATACGTTTATGAAAACGGTAGATTGATGCTGGATGTCAATTCGTATTGCTAAATGTCGGCACGCATTAAATGAATGAATGAATCAATCAATCAATCAAACAATCAATAGGCATGTATAAAACCGTTTAAATGGCTCGCAACCACTAATAGCAATCACACCATCCTAGCTCGGAAAAGCAGCCGGAGCCCTGATGAGGCTCGAACCCAGAGGCGGATCCAGCTCAGAGTTTTGGGGAGGGCAAACCATAACAATTTATCGATTCTTTCCATGCATCGTCCATAGGCGTAATGTTAAAATTATGCCGTTTGGGGGGGGGGGGCAAATGCCCATTTCCCCCCCCCCTGGATCCGCCACTGCTCGAACCGGGACTTCACGCTGTAAATTTTGCCAATGATCCATCATCATTCCACCAAGCTAGAGTAACCGGCACCCGAACAAAAAACAAAACATTAATTGACAAAAACATTAATTGACTTTGCCGCCGACCTCCCGGCCCCGCCGCCCGCCCGGCCAGACTTTGCCCCGGCTATAGCCACCATCCGGTGTAGCTCAGCGTAGGAGTGCTAGACTGTCAAACTGACCGGTATAGTGAGGGGCCCGGTTCGAAACGCTTCGGATGCTGGATGTTTATTTCTCGGTGGGAGGCTTTACGTTTAGCTCACTTTTCAGAAATTTGGTGACTGACCTGTTTTCTTACTTTGCTGCAATTCATGAAGAGACCGTATCTGTCCTTCCGCACCCCACTTGGGAGATGGTTGGTTGCCCCCCCCCCCATGGGCTTGTGAATATTTCTAAAACAAATTTTTGGAGGGGGGATACGATCGGTTCTATGCGACAAGTGACCACACACGCCCAGCCCCAGGTCCGCTCACTCCCTACCCATATCACCCCCTCCCCACACCACACTCCAGCCCGCCTCATCCACCGAGCCGAGCCATAACGAGCCTCAGCGCCCCGGGGCGCGACCTGTCAGCGAACACTGTTACATAATAACAGTGACAATATATCAAATCCGTGAACTCCTCTATGAATGTCGTCTCGCAGATCCGGCAGTTTGGGCTTCAACGACTGAATGTTGAGGTGTCCAATTATGTCTGGTCCAGTGTCGCCGTGGTGGCGCCAGCTCGCGCCGCCTCGATGTCCCCGACGCCTGGACGCGCCCCTGCCCCGCGGCGCACGCAACCGCCGGCCCGCGTCCCCGCCGGTTCGCTGACAGGTCGCGCCCCGGGGCGCTGAGGCTCGTTATGGCTCGGCTCGGTGGATGAGGCGGGCTGGAGTGTGGTGTGGGGAGGGGGTGATATGGGTAGGGAGTGAGCGGACCTGGGACTGGGCGTGTGTGGTCACTTGTCGCATAGAACCGATCGTATCCCCCTCCAAAAATTCGTTTTAGAGATATTCACAAACCCATGGGGGGGGGGGGCAACCACCCATCTCCCAAGTGGGGTGCGGAAGGACAGGTAAGGGTGCATACGGTCTCCTCATGAATTGCAGCAAAGAAAGAAAACAGGTCAGTCACCAAATGATCTTTCTGAAAAGTGGACTAAACGTAAAGCCTCCCACCGAGAAATAAACATCCAGCATCCGAAGCGTTTCGAACCGGGCCCCTCACTACCGGTCAGTTTGACAGTCTAGCACTCCTACGCTGAGCTACACCGGATGGTGGCTATGGCCGGGGCAAAGTCTGGCCGGGCGGGCGGCGGGGCCGGGAGGTCGGCGGCAAAGTCAATTAATGTTTTTGTCAATTAATGTTTTGTTTTTTGTTCGGGTGCCGGTTACTCTAGCTTGGTGGAATGATGATGGATCATTGGCAGAATTTACAGCGTGGAGTCCCGGTTCGAGCCTCATCAGGGCTCCGGCTGCTTTTCCGAGCTAGGATGCATCCATCTAGGATGCAATCACACCATACGTATGGTGTGATTGCTATTAGTGGTTGCGAGCCATTTAAACGGTTTTATACATGTCTATTTATTGTTTGATTGATTGATTGATTGATTGATTCATTCATTTAATACGTGCCGACAGTTAGCAATACGAATTGACATCCAGCATCAATCTACCGTTTTCATAAACGTATTGCCTAAATATCATGCATAGGCAAAAGACCTATGGTTGCCTCGATACCGTGCCAAATCACGCACAGGTAAAGTAAATTATATTCGCTGGATCTTCCGTGCATTGTGCCTAGCAAAAACAGGAATGCCATTGTTAAGCGACGCAAAATGTGCAATGCAGCAAGTGACCATACACACCCGCCCAGCCCCCATGGTCCACCAACACGCCCCACACCACTCGCCAGCCCACGCCAACCAGTGAGACGAGCCCTCCCCCGCGCTGGTCTGACGCAACAGCAGGTCTACAAAGCGCTCCACCCGGCGACCCGAGCCGATGTCAAACGGCGTGGGTAGACTGTGCCGCTTCACTCTCGGGTCATGCGGCACAGCCTACCGGTACCAGGCGGCTGCTGCCAATGCTGAGCCATAGGAACCCGGTGGATAAAGAGTAGGGGACCATCAACCTGTACACGACTGTACATGGCTGTACTCGTGTCCGCCGTAGCTTCAGGTGAGAGTGCAGCTGGAGCCTGGCACTCGTGTCCGCTACTGATTCAGTCGAGGAATCCGCTACTGATTCAGGTCATCTATCGATAATCCCATGTAAAGATGCGGGTCGATTGTGTGTTCCAACTCCGCTCTACCCGGTCTGTTCTGTCCAGTCGGCCGGTCTGTTGTCCCGAGTCGGCCGGTCAGGACTCAGGAGAAGACCTCTGTGAGTCTCAGTCGCGCGTGATGTGTCATCTCCTGGGCAGAGGGAGGCCGGGAGGCGGCGGAGCGGAGGCGAGAGGGCGGGAAGAGAGAGGGGCGGAGACAGAGCCGGAGGGGCGGCGCCAGACGCGGGGGCGGTCCGATGGCCCGTAATTGGACACCACTGCCGGCTGCGAGCCTCCGGCCGTGAGGCGACAGCTTACTCAAGTGGCACCGCCATATTGTTGCCGTACTCCAGCATGATCTCGTACGCTTTATGTAGGCACCTAACAACGTATCGAATTCTCAGATACGGTGTTTCGTACTAAGCCAATTTACAAGCAAGCAGAATTATCCATGCAGAAGTGAGGACGGTCTCGTCTCAACTTAGTAATGTTTCGCGAATCCGATCGTTCTACCGCATACCTACCTATTAACTATGTCTAATTCTATGTTAGGCATGGCTATAATAGTCATGCGTCATATAAATGTAGGTACAACTTTTCCTTAGTACCTACCGATATAAAGTCATGCTAGTGGTATCGTGTTGAAAACTAGCATATCCGAAAGATTTGATTACCTATTACCTACAGGCATAGCCTCTCTTGAAAGTATTGTTGCGGTATACCGCAACACGAGGAAAAGAAGTAGTTACATACCCACTGGTGACCAACGGCTAACATCCGTTCGGCCTTCTCTCTCCTGACGACCTCATCCTCACTCATCCTCCACGTCAAGTGTCTTGATGGACCAGGGCTGCCAAACTTGTTAGTTTTTAAAACGCAAGTTTACTTCAGCTCCTCTGTGGGCGGCACAAACAGTTTTGTAATGGATGATCAAAGGGCTGCGGAGCCTATGGATTTTAAGGTGACTCTGACTTCGACTCCGAATCCGATTCCGACTTCAAAAATCGACTCCGACTCCGACTCCAGCTCCGACTCCGGACATTGTTCATAAAATGAAATCAAATTTAATGTCGGAAATCTTTTTAGCTTACCTGAAGTAGCCCCTTGCACGTTTCAAGGTCTTGCATCGCAAGAAGTATTTAATAGCATGCAGAAATAGTACCTACCTAATAGGTTTTTGACGCAGCAGCCGTCTTCAGCTTTTTTCGTAAGCTTCAACAAAATCTAATTTTGATAGGTCAACGAGCGAAATATCGTCAAGCAAGGTGTTGGATATGACTTTGAGCCATACAATGTTAACTCCGAATCCGGAGTCGGAGTCGATAAGATTTTAGCGACTCAAACCCGACTCCGGCTCCGGGCAAAATGGTCGACTCCGACCGACTTCGACTCCGACTCCACAGACCTGGATCAAACCTTTCTGATATTTCAAACCTTTCAAGCCCTTCACTTAAAGCTTTCCACTTTAACCCGCGCCATGCTGGGGGGGGGGGTGTTTGAACACCCCCCTTGTGGTTTTTCGCGAATATCTCAAAAACGGCGGCGCGGAGCGCCGCCGTTTTTGGTACACCTTATCATAATCAATTCTACACATGTTGTGAAAATTTCAGACCAAGGTCATTCAAGGTCAGGTCACCAGGTCACTTGAAGTGACCTCACCTCATAAAAAGTTTCAATGTCTGTCATATCTACACCGAGTGACCGATCGCTTTGAAACTTTCAGCGATTGCTAAGAGCAATAGCATGTACAAAATGTATATCTCAGAATTTTGATATCGATGACCTAAGGTCAGGTCAATTTTGCGACCTCCCCAGTCCCCATTATAAGTCAATGGGAAAAAATTGAAATGCGCCTCTTTTGGGCGAAAGACATTATAAACACTTCCAAACACCGAATTACAAGTGGCTTAGACACACTGAACATGAAAATGGTGTCCGTGACCTTTGTTTATGCCCTGAGGTCATCTTAGGTCACGATTGGTAGGTGGGGCATTCCACGATAGATCGTACCAGGCCCGTCACCCTCATCCCTCAGATTTGAATGAAAATTGGTACTAGGGGTAATCATAGGCTCCAAAAACACCTGCCAAAATATCAGACTTCTTAGATGAGAACTTTTTAAGTTATATTGCATAATATTTTCCAAACTTCAGATTGTAAGGGTGAGTTTGATGAGCTATAACTCAAAAACGAGCTAAGCAAACAACAAACGGTTAACAGCTTTGAACTGACGATGAATCAAAGATTAATACAGCTTTTTCAAAATTGGAAAGAAAAGCTTTACATATTGAAAAAGTCGTAATATTTTTTTTAAAATTGTCTATAACGGCCCTTGGGACCAAAATTTTTGCCATTTTTATTTCTTCAAAATAAACTTCAGGTCATTTAAAATCGACATGCAAAAAATTAGAAAGGTGTTCTTTCTATAAATTCCTCATTTTAATGCATAAAAAATGGGTTTCCGGGGTGTCGGTACGACCCCAGCTCGCCGTTTCGCCTCTAATGGAGCTAGAACCTTGCGGAAAAAACGAGCATGTGCGCCGTTACAAGATGCATCGAATGATACCACATTTTAAGGTCTCGGGTTCATTGGTGAACCCTGAGGTCATTTCAAGTGACCCAAATTACGTGTCCGGTTTTTGGTAGATAACTTCGCAACAAATGGTCGCAGAGCCGCGATTTTAGCATCTTTGTGTTTGCCTAGCTCCGGCGCGTCGAATGGTATACTGTTTGTTCTGGTGAGGTCAGCATAAGTCGCTGACTTCGGGTCAGCACACTGCCGTGTATTTGGCTCCGCTCCCCGACCGGGCGGCCCAGCCGGCAGCCAGCCCCCGGGCATCACGTGACCGCCCGAGTCCGCGGCAAAGCCAACCAGCGCGGCGCTAGACAAACAGCGCCGCCACAGAGATGGTTAACAGTCGGGTCAGGCCACGAATCTGGGTGAATGAGATCATATTGCACATCATTCGATTTGCAAGGTCTTCCCGAGTCCATTGGTAGCTTTCCCGTCACTCTAGTTCAATTTGATCGAGAGTTATTGACGAAAAACTCTTATGACCCTAGTGACGTACGAATGACGTCACGCAAGGTCAACAATGCAAAAGTCAGGCACAAATGACTTCAATTGAACTTTCAGTAACCAGTGATGTCACTAGGCAGCTTTACCACGCCATTTGTAGGCTCTCTTCCCGAATTACAATTTGAGACCATTACGGTAACGCAAAATAAGTACATTTAGAGAAAGAACACCTTCCTAATTTTTTGCATACTACTTAAAAATGATCCAAAAATGTTTTTAAGAAAATAAAAATTCAAAAAATTTGGTCCCAAAGGCATAAAAATGCAAATGAATGGAAGCTTAAGGTATTATATATCAAAAATATTTTATATTTCAAAATTTCAAAAATGCATATTATTCTTTGTTTCAATGCAAGTTCAATGCCGTATAGCATTTGGCATTTGGATTATCCGTCTTAGAGTTACAGCCCGCCAAACCTGGCGCTGCAACGCAAGATCCAAAACATGTTATACACAATAACTCAAAAACTACTCATCTGATAAGCCTGAAATTGTCACAGGAGGATTCAGAGCCCCTGATTACCCCTTAGACCAATTAGGGTAGCCTGGGGCAAGACGCCCCAGATAATTTATTTTGCTACATAACTTTTGTCCCACATCACCTGGAAGGCCAAATTTGTGCTCAATGCGTTCTTTGGACATTTTACTTTAAATTCCACCCCTCAAATTCATTCGCTTATGATCGGACTCCCAGCTGGGAAGTGGTTTGTGAAGCAACTGCAAATAGGGCGTTTTGCCCCAACCCCAGGGCAAAACGCCCCACGGCCTGGGGCAAGAAGCCCCATACTCTAGATTAAAGATTAAACATGCTAGTTGACTAAATCTTATATGAGAGGTCCGTTAGACCTTGGGAGGCACGGCACTGAAGTTAGCACCTTCCATCCTATCAGGTGTTCAGCTACGACACTATTGTATGAGCAGGTTTTTCACCTGCCTCATAAGGCCAAATAATAAATTATTGCAATGCAAATGTTAACAAAATACTTCCTTTGCCATCCAGTTGCTGAGAAAAGTACATATAAATGCATAGAAACATACCGTTCGCCAGCTACCGAACATTAGGAAGTGGGTAGTCCGAATAACACATGAGGTAAAACGCCCCATGGGGCTTTTTGCCCCGCGACCTACTGGGGCGTTTTACCCCATCACGTAGTTCGGTCAGAGAACAACGCCTTGCACTCCAGGAAGACATAATTTAACACGAACCAACCCGGCATTATAAGCGTTAGACACTAGTTGTTCAAAATACATAAAAGTCGTTAACCTGATGTGGACGATAAAGGAACGCCATGATGCATAATCTGACAACAAAACATAAAAATCACTCCAAAAACACATTTTTGGCTATATCTCTCTAAAGAGTCATCACAATTTCTTTCCAGTCTGCTCATATAATGATCGTATTGTGCACGTTTTATAGAAGAGAGGATGTTTCCCCAGAACCTTGCCAGTTCCCAGAAACATCGGTGAGGCGTTTTACCTCGGCGGGGCGACTTGCCCCGGTCTACCCTATCGTTAAAATCCGAGAGATGAGGGTGTCAAATTGGAAAAAAGTGGTACGATCTATCGTGGAATGCCCCAGGTATCTAACAGTTTTTCGCAAATAACTTTTGATAGAGGCATGCTAGAGCGATGAAAACGCCTTAGATGTGTTAAGCTCGACGATACGGATCTACTGATATGCAACATGACCTTTTCGGTCAGGTCATGACCTTGACCTGAGGTCAAATTTTAAAAGTGACCTTTCAAGGTCAAGTTATAAATCATTTGATGCGTCTTGACAAGGGGAACACGATGCCGGTGAAAGTAAGCTCGTACAAGGCTTGGGTCAAAAGTTATTGCAGAAAAACTGTTTCCGAAAAAAATCGGCTATTTTTGCAGTTTTTGCCCCCTGCAGGCAAAACCGTTGACGTTAGGTCAAATCTGAGAGAATTACTCAGAAAGGGCGTTAATATGGCTATCGAATGCGCTTTTCCGCGGCGCTGTAGCTCTATTGGTTCCCAAGTTATGCGTTGGCTTCTTAGAAATTTTCGACATTTGACCTAGAAATCGGCGAAATTTTGTCTTCAATGACCTCTGGTGACCTAACCTTTGACCTGACCAAAAAAGTGACCGAAGTGATTTCGACTCTTTCGAACGCCGCCTTCCGCGTATCGCTACGTGGCCCAGGAGCCGAGTTACAAGGGGGGTGTTCAAACACCCCCCCCCCCCTCAGCAGGACGTGGAAATCCAGGACCCCCAGCCGGGCGCAGGTTAATTCGAGCGGGTTTCCTCTTTATCTTATCTCTTTCTCCTTCTCAATCGAACTGGGTACCCCGATTTCTCTCCATTTCACAGTCACCCCGAGCCGCGGCTTGGACCGCACGTTTGGCGCTGAAACGAGCCCCGTGCTGCAGTCCAATCTCCGTGCCGGTCGGCCGCCGACAGCCCGCCCGCTCTCTCACACATTGTCGCTTCGACGGCGATGTTACCGGGCGGAGTCGATGACCTGAGCGGCCGAGGGGCGGACAGACGCTTGGCAGCGTGAGGTGATGGGATGTCGTCTGATCGTGCACAATGGCGGGGTGGCACAACATCAGTCTGACGCGGTGGTGAGATGGATGGTGTGGTTTGAAGAGACCGACTGCATGTGAGATGATGTGAGGGGAGCATAAGAAAGGGCGCTCATATGTTCCTCCGGAGATTGTATGTCATGTGCCATCGTGACTGACAGGCGATCTGGCCAGGCATGTGTGGGTGTCATGTTTTGTACCGAATTTTCATTCGAGGTTACTTTGAAAATTGTCACCACGTCTTATTCGTACCTAACATTGACGTTCAATATTACTAGGCAAGCCAGTTTACCAGGTTTATAGCCTGCCGTGTGCCAGTGTGTGTGTGCTGTGTCGTGTTCGTACGATGTTACCGCCGTCGCAACTCGCAGCCTGGGTTACTTTGTGTCCGGTGACCGGTCCTCTATTCAGTGACAAGTGACCCTGCCCGTTCCAGATCTGTTCTGACCGGTGACTGATGGTGGTCTGCTTACTTTGACTGTTGTCTGTTTCAGGACCGCTCTGACCGTCCCGTGGTCTGTTACAGGACCGCTCTGACCGTCCCATGGTCTGTTTGCTCTGACCGTCCCGTGGACTGTTTCAGGACCGCTCTGACCGGTGGTCTGTTTCAGGACCGGTCTGACCGGTGGTCTGTTTCAGGACCGCTCTGACCGGTGGTCTGTTACAGGACCGCTCTGACCGATGGTCTGTTTCAGGACCGCTCTGACCGGTGGTCTGTTTCAGGACCGCTCTGACCGGTGCAGTGGTCTGTTTCAGGACCGCTCTGACCGGTGGTCTGTTTCAGGACCGCTCTGACCGTCCCGTGGACTGTTTCAGGACCGCTCTGACCGGTGGTCTGTTTCAGGACCGGTCTGACCGGTGGTCTGTTTCAGGACCGCTCTGACCGGTGGTCTGTTTCAGGACCGTTCTGACCGGTGGTCTGTTTCAGGACCGCTCTGACCGGCGCCTGCACCACCAGCACAAGTACCAGGACATCACGCTGTTCAACGAGTTCCTCATCCGAAGCTGCCCCACCATGATCAAGGGAGACAACTAACCGCTGAGCGGCCGGACCCGACGTCTGACAATGTAGACTGATGAAGGCATGGCTCATAGAGACCATTAACACTATATCAGCGTCGTATTATTAACCTCCCGGAAACATTAAACGCCGCGATTTCGGCTAAAATCGCGGTTGAAGGCTATATCAGCTCAGATTTGAAAGCACGGCAGGGCTACAACGAGATGCAACATGCGGTCTTTTAGGCGATTATAGCCGGCTATGATCAAAGACCACTTAACCAGCATGCTCCCGGCCCACAAAGGCTCCATCAACACACTCCAGTCAGCTGCTAAAGTGTATTGGCGGCGACCGAGGAACACATATGAACACATATGAAGACGGCACCGACTCGAATAACGCAACATCGCGCCGATATGATAGACGTATATATAATAAATAAACACTGGCATAATGAACAGCTACACATGGTAAGCGGGCCATCCGCGGCCTCAGCTGCAGCACGACGGGCCAGCTGACGGCCCGACGAAACGTGAGAGTGTAGGTACAGTCAACAGCTGCGGAGAAACAGGCCTGACTCGCGCGCGCACCGCGCCACACTCGCCGCGCCGTGCCGCCCGCCGTCGAGCAGAGCGCTCAAACATCACTCGATTGTCGCAACTCGCATAGAAAATGAAGATCGCTCGTGGCGGCCGCAGTGCGGGTCTGGACACCACCCGGCGGGGCCCCGGTCCGCGCCCCTTCGTCCAGCTGCGCCTCAGCTGCCGGCGACGGCCGCCCTCGTGACTAGGTGTCCCCTCCCCGACTCCCGTCCCATCTTTGGTGTGCGCCCGACTGGAGCGGCTGGCCGAGCCGCCGCCGCCTCAGACCACGCCCTCCATACACTTTGTGTCCATGTGCTGGATGAGCGTCTTCATCACGGCCATGGCCTTGCGCGCGTTCTCGAGCACCACGTGCGACTCGAGCGAGCGGCAGCGCAGCACATTGGGCGCGAACACCATGGCCAGGTTGCTGGCGTCCATCTTGGTCTGCTGCACCACGTCCGGCTGGCTGAACAGCTGTGGACACAGTGGAACAGTACAAGTGAACACAGGGGAACAAAACAGGTGAACACACGAGAGAACACGTGGACTGGACACAGGCGACGTAAACAAGCGTCGATGAACACGTTCAGGGCGGCTAAATAAGTAAGCATATGCGATATGAACAGGTGATTATACGAGTCCTCGCTATGCAAGGGACTTATGCCAAGACATTTAGAGACCCTTGCTGCGTCGGAGACCGTTCAAAGCTATTACGGACGGTGACCACCGGCTTCCGTGCACACCGACCAGCTGGTAAAGTTCACACTGGCGACCCCAGCCGGCGTCATCTTTTCCCATGGGGATCATTGTTCCATGGCAGCCACCAATTACACTACGGGGCCCGAACGGACCTCATTTGCCGCCGATATGGGTCGGCCAACCGATCACGTACCACGCGTTAGTGAGCCAGGCAGACTCAAATCGCGGCCCGCAGTGCAGCAATGAAGCGAACGCCCGAACCAAGATTACTTCGGCTCGAGCCCGGAGCGCCCGGCGCCATTTCCGGCCGTGCTACTGCGCCGGCGGCTCCTTCTTTACCCTGAGGGACCGCCCCAGTGCTTTGGCGGCCAGTTTGCGACCAAAGTGAGGCCGCCATCACCCCGATTGGTCGTGGTTCGGTGACGGGATCTCGTTAGTGAGAGGAAAAGTCGGGAGAAGGGCCGCCGAAGCTACGGAGTCGGGAGGACGTGAGCGGTACAGAGCGCCTAAAAATCGCTGCACGCGCCGAGATGAGGGGACTGTGTGAGGATAGAGGACCCGAAAGGAAAACGAATGAAATGCAAAAGATAAGTTCTCATGAGTCCGTGTAACGAGCGCTAGTCGCTATCACCAGGGTCATACGAGGTGTGGCTAAAAAGAAACCGGACTGCTCGTGCTGGCCATAAAGTAGGGGGCCCGAAGACTAGCGAGACACTTGACATTAATCTTTAACATATTGTGGTGATGTGTGCCAAATGGCATCTCGATATCGCTATTATTCTGCTTTCTACAGATCTTTGTTTTATCGATGTTCGGCGGCCTCGTCACCGCCAGGCTTCTACAATGAGCTTCGAAAAAAGGAAGGAACATGACGCTCCTTGCCAGACTCATCAGAGACGCTGAATCTGTTCAAGGCTTTAATGTTATTTTAGGTCATATGTCACATGCAAGTGTTTGAATGGGTTACGAGGTTCAGCACTGGTCGTGAGGATGTCGGTGATGACCCCAAGGTCTGGAGGTCCATCAACGTTCGCGCGCACGTCGAAGTCGAGGGTGGAGACGACATTGATCGTCTTTTTCGATCATAGGGGATTCGTTCACCGCCAGTTCGTGCTGAAGGTGTACCACAGTCGACCAGCATTTCTACAAGGAAGACCCGGGATGCCTCATTTCACGAGTCAGGCGCACCAAGTGGAATTTCTGGGAAGCCAAGATCTGGGTGCTCCATCACGACAACGCTCCCGTGCATTCTGCCATTAGCGTCAAACCGTTCTTTGCCAAAAAGCAGGTCGCGGTGCTCAAGTACCCTCTTATTTGTCAGACCTACCTCCCTGTGACTTTTGGCTGTTCCTTTAAATGAAAAAGGTTGTCAAGGGAACACATTTTGAATCGGTCGAGGACATCCAGACCAGAGTGACCAGCGTCAGCGTCATCGATAAAACAAAGAGCTGTGGAAAGGAGAATAATAGTGATATCGAGATGCCGTTTGGCACACATCACGACAATATGATAAATATTAATGTCAAGTGTCTCGCTAGTTTTCGGGCCCCCTACTTTATGGCCAGCACGAGCAGTCCGGTTTCTTTTTAGCCACACCTCGTATATAGAGATCACTAAAAGCACACCGTGATATGGTCAAATCTCATCAGACAAACGGTGTTCGGTGATCATACAACTTCCTTTCATAAATCAGTGCCAGAGGAGGGCGCGTGGCCAGCTCATCAAAACTCGCAGATTCGCCATCAGCTGGTCAATAAAACACCCATTTGAAACCATCGCATACGTGATTTAATCCGCGATTGGAAAACACCTTGCTCGAAATGTGGTGCCGTTTGTCTTGGCCGCGTGTCCATGAGCGCGCCAAGGTGGGGAATTTATTGTGGTCGGTCGCTATTAACTGAATCCCACCGCACAGCTGTGAGCACGGCGGCAGCTGGTGACGGTCCGAGCCGGGCCATCTCGCTCCCGGCAGTTTACAGCGGCCCGCAGACACATTTACCGGCGGAAGGCTGACCCAGCCGTGACCCGTACTGGGTCGTAAGCTCTGGCCGGTGCGGGTGAGGGTGACTGTCACACCCAGCGACACAAGCCCTGTAGGAAACGCTAAACGGCGAGACAAGCTAGCTAAGGACGAGATAACGAAGAACGGAGGGATGAGAGTAAAAAGATTGAGCAGGTGCGGGGAGCGGGACAGTGAAGGTGTGGAAACACTGTCCCAGTCAGGAAACTGCCAGTGTGACTGTCGCCAGCGCCGACCTTTCCCCGGTCTGGCGTCCCAGTGCGGCACATTTTGTCTCCGCGGCGCCGCGCTCCGCCGCCGCCGGCCGGTTATGACCGCCGTATCCGCGGCTGGCGACGGTCAATTGCTCGGCAACTGCCGACGCCTGGCGGTCGCCGGGGAGCAGGCGTGCGTCGGCGCGACGCCCAAAGTCGGTCGGGAACGCGTCCCGAGGCGCAAATCGCCGCTGACGGCGCGGTTAGCCCCGTAATGCCGGCACCGAGCCCGACTCGGAGCGGCCGCGGCAGCCACGAGGAAGCTGGCCGCGGAGCGGAGAGGGCTACCACCACTGCCGTCGGCGGGCAGCCGGGCGTGGCATTGGCCCGGGAACGCTCCAGCGCACACCTTCTCGGAAGGGAAGCAGGGGAGGGGACGGGTCATCACGAGGCACGGAGGTCAAAATGGCTACGAGTCAGCGAACTAACTTCAACGGAGGCGAGTGATAACAGAAGAATATCGTGGGGTGGAATATGATAAAAATGAATAATTCACAAGACATCAATATTCGTATACCTTTCCACAGGTAGGTACTGGATGCACTTTGTGCAAAATGATTCGCTCCAGTAGGTCCCACCCCTCAACACATAACGCAACTAACTATTTGATATGTGCGCGATCTTAACAGCAGACAGCGGCTGGATGAGCTGAGGCACCGGTTCGTTCGTTACCATCCGGGCATCATTCTCGCACGGGACTCCCGTTGTGTCACTGTCATATTCGCCTCCCGACTGAGCCAAGTGACAATTCAAGAGCGCCTCTCGCCGCCCCGCCAATGGCTCTTTAGATTTAACGAGGCTCTTTAGCCTGCTAATTATCTGGCCAGCAGCGAGCGAGCTGCCGGCGACAAAGGTGGTCAAAGCCCTGAACTTCCTGGCCGCGCGGCCGGTGGCCGGATGTTCTCGCCGGCTGACCCGGCGGCCGGTGGTAACAGGTGCGTGGAAACAAGACATTACTCTAACCACCGGCTGAAGTCCTCCACAAATAGATCGTACATTTCCGTTCACCGTTAGTCTCGAGATGCGCCTGCCACGCTGCGAATGCAAATGCTGCTATCAATGTGAAGGTACGTGCCGATGAGAACAGCCCAGAGGCAGGATCTGCCTTGCACATGATGAAGTCACCAGCGGGTGCGGTCAGAGGTCCGATGGTGCATCCCTCGGTACATGAGCAGAGCGGGACGGTGGTGGGAGGCAGCCGAACGCAGCCACGGCAACTGGCCGTAAATCCAGCTCCCAACGGAGAGATACCAGTCGGCTTACATATACTGTGCGAAATAGCATCAAACTTTGCGCAGGGAAGATAAGTTTAACGTTACTGCACGTCCAAAGTTACTCCACCCGCACGATCCTCACTCATCCCGCCAGCCGCAGGCCGGCTGCGGCGGCCGCGCGGCGGAGTTCATTTTCCCATTGACTCGACTCGGCCCCCGACTTCTCACTCCAGGTCAGACACGGCGCCGTCCAGCTGATTAGTCGCCTCAGCGAACCCATATCCCTTTCGGTGAAAACGGCCCGTCGCCAGGCAAAGGGCCGATGCCGCGGGGCCGTTTCATAAATGAAACCTTCTCAGCGGGGCACACACGTACGCCGAATGCCACACCGCACGGAACGCCAATCGATCCAAATGGTAAATCGGTTAGGCTCCGGCAAGGACGTGATGTCGGTCCACATTGGCCCCGTTGTTCCAGGAACTCCATGCTGCAAATGCCGTCAGATCGGTGGCGTACTATCATGACGGCGGGCCGGGCCGGTGACTCGACCGCCGCCCGGACGGCCCGTCAGCGGTGGTCAGCGATGCGGCACGTCCGCACAGACAGTCATCGACGACCCAATCAAACCAGTGCGCCGCACCCGTCAGTGTGCGCTCCTGCCTTTCGCGGCTGTCACCAGGTCCTGACACAGCGGAAACCCACCGCCGCCATCAGCCGATCGATATTTAAAGAGGCCGCCGCCGAAATTATCTCACGGCCCACTATCGCGACGGACTTGAGAGACGGGATATGTGTTGTTTTAACGACGAACAGTGTCCACTTCTAACCCGACAAGCTGCTTGTTCGCGCCGGCTGCGTGGTGTCCGGCCGAATTCTATTTGGTTCCAAACCAGTCCACTCTGGTTCCGCCGGGCTCCCTAGAGAACCACAGCCGATTTCGCCCATTTCCGAGCGCTTCCTGCTGCCCCATCGGACCGAACGGGGCGCGGCCCGCTATGGAATGCAATCAGAGTGCGCCGGGGAGACTATCCATCTCTCTGACCGGCCGAGCCACTGACCAGCCGTCGCACTGTAGGCCGGCAGCCTGAAAAAGCGCTAGAAATTCACCCAAACTGACTGTCCGCAATATGAACAAAATAGGTATCATTTAATCCCAAATTGATCGAAGAATACGATTCCGATGCTAGTTTTGCCCTAAGGTCAAAATTGAGGTCGTCAGTTGTCACCAAACACAAGACAATTTAGACTCTCTATAGGCCACCACATTTACCGATTTTAATGATGAAC